ACTGTGATTTGTCAGTGTTTTCCAACATCTGTATGGACAATGTTAAAAAAAAAAAAAAAAAACAGTTAACATCTATTGAGCCCTTATAAGACTTGGAACAATTTTTACATTAATTATTTAATCCCCACAATAACCCTGAGGATGTACTCTCCTTATTTTATTTTGTAACTTTTTATTGTGATCTGGAAGAAAGTTTACAGAGCAGATTGGCTTTCTAGTCAATAATTCAGTCATTTTGATTCACAACATTGATTGCAATCCTCACAATATAATAGCACTCTTTCCTGTGTTTTTGTACTATTTTTAGGGCATCTTACAGCTGGGGAAACAAAGGTACTAAGGAGTTATAAACTGTCCAACACTATCCTCAGGAGAAGGACCAAGGCTGCCACCAAAGTCTGACCCACTATGCCATAATGCCTCAATCCACAATTCTTTTTTTTTTTTTTTTTTCAATTTTTTGTTTTAAATTGAGTGAAGGTTTACAAAGAAGATCATGTGTTTTAATTTCAACAAATCATATACTTTGTTTCATCTCAATTAATGCAATCCTTCCATGTAACAACAACTATCCCAATTCCTCTCTGTGGTTCCTATTCCCATTCCACTCGCCTTCCCATCTCTTCTCAACTTTGTTCTTAGGGGACTGTTGCTCTTTTGATCTTAAATGGTTGATCTTTTCATGGTGAAAATGCCTTACTAGTGTTGTTGTCCCACTATATACTTATCTACTACCTGCATGATAATTGGACCACAAAGATGAATTCCTTTGAAGGCCTAAAGAGTAGTTGAGGGTCACTGAGTTCCTAAAGTCTCTTCCTCAGCGGTACGTCTGAGTATTTTATTTTGTTTTTATAAATTTGAGTTTTGTTCCACATTTTCTGATACTCTGTTTGGGACCTTCTAATGTAATCTCTTTCAAAGCAGTTGGCAGTGGTGATTGGGCATCAACTAATTCTTCTGGTCTCAGAGTTGTGGTGGCTGATTTTCACCTGCTCCACTGGTTCATTGCATTAGTTGATTCTAAACCTCTTCAGTTTCATCACTCTGCTTTCATCTGCACATAGAGACAACTAGTTGCAATTTAGATGAGTTTTTAAGATCACCAAAGTAGGATGTAGAACATTGTCTTTATGGACTATGTTAGGCCAATTGACCCCAAGGCCCAGAAACTCAGTGTCTTCATTTTGTCTCCTATATGCCCCACCTTATTCATAATTATGTTTGCACGTACAAACATCCTCTTTCAAACCCTTATCAGGTATGGATTTTTGTCAAATGTTTTTTCTGCATCAATCAATAAGATCAGATGTTTTTTTCCTTTGGCTACATTGGTTGTTTTTCTAATACTGAACTATTTTTGTTTCTCTGGATGAATCACATTTGTTCATGATGCATTATTTTTTATATGTTCTTGGATTCTATTGGTGAGGATATTGTTAAGAATTTTTGCATCTATGTTCATGAGTGGTATTGGTCTAGAATTTTTTTTAGTGATGTCTTTCCCAGGTTTGGCACTAGGGTTATGCTCACTTCATAAAATGTAGTCAGGAATTTTCTATTTTCTGGAAGAGTTTGAGTAGACTTGGTGTCAACTCTTGTCTGAATGTTTGATAGAATTCCACTAGTAAAGGGCTCCGATTTTTTTTTTTTGCAGGGGTGGGATGGGGTGGGGGTTTAATGACTTGATGAATTTCCTCTTTTTGTAGGTCTGTGCAAGTTTTCTACTTCATTCTTTGTTAGTTTAGGTAGGTCGAGTTCTTCTAAAAATTTGTCCATTTCTTCTAGATTTTCAAATTTGTTGGAGTATATTCTGTTATTATCCTTTCCATTTCTGTTGGTTCTATTGTGACATTCGCCCATAGAGTTTCTTATGCATGTCATTTGCATCCTCTCCTTTTCTTTTGTTAGATTTGCCAATGGGTAATCAATTTTATTAATATTTGCAAAGATTTTTCTATGATTTTTCTGTTTTCTATTTCATTTTATTTCTGCTCTAATCTGCATTATTTATTTTCTTTTAGCAACTGTAGACTTACATTACTTTTTTTTTTTTTTCTGTTGGAGATACTGGTTTTTTTCTAATTGTTGGAGATGTTGATTTGGTTTTCTTCTTTTTGATGTGTGCATTTATTGCTATATTGGAGTTCTGGTGTGGCACTGTGGGTTAATGCACCAAACTGCAAAGCCGTTTGAACTGCAAAGTCAGTGGTTCAAGCTCACCAGCTATGCCTTGGAAACCCTATACAGGGTTGCTATGGGTCAGAATCAACTCGACTGCACTTACCAACAATAATTGCCCTCTAAGCACTGCTTTTGCTTGTCACAAAGGTTTTGGTATAGTGTGTTTTCATTCTTATTTGATTTTTAATTTTTATTTAATTTTTAAATTGTTCTATTATCCAGTAGCGTTTAGGGGGTTATTCAATTTCCGTGCATTTTCTCCCTTGATCTTCCTACTGTCGATTTCTAATTTTATAGCATTATGATCTGAGAAGATGCTTTGTGTTTTTAAATTTATTGATGCTTGCTCTTCAGCTTAATATACAGTCAGTTCTGGAGAATGTCTCATGTGCACTGGAAAAGAATGTGTTACTTTGCTGCTGTTGGGTTGAGTTTATCCACAATTACTAATCCCCAATTCTAAATTCATGTCCTTGGAATAGCAAAAAATAGTACCCAAAGAATGAGCATTGCAGATTAGAGTAACGTGAAAAATAAGATTCTGAGTGATTGCTGTTGTTGTTGTTAAGTGCCATCGAATCATTTCTGACTCATAGCGACAATGTATAGGATAGCCGAGGAGCAGCTGGTGGGTTTGAACCGCCGACTTTGTGGTTCAAATTGACCTTGCCATCTGGACGATTATTATGCAGCACCATACTAGGATGTTGTTAGGTGCCATCGAGTCGGTACCTACCCATAGCGACCTTATGCACAGCAGAACGAAACACTGCCCGATCCAGGGCCAATCTCACTACTGTTGCCACACTTGAGTCCATTGATGCGGCCACTTGGCCAATCCATCTCGCAGGGGGTCTTCCTCTTTTGCTCTGACCCTCCACCTTACTGAACATGATATCCTTCTCCATTGACTGGTCTCTTCTCACAATATGTCCAAAGTATGAGAGACAAAGTTTGGCCATCTTGGCCTGTAAGGAGCACAGGGTGCACTTCTTCCAAAACGGATCTATTGGTTGTTAGATAGTTAGATCCAAAGGCTAATAAGTGATAGCGTTAAATAGATTCCCAAGCCCTAAATGACAAATGCATGCAAAAAGACCATAGCAAACAGGCCATACAAAAGGAACAGAAAGACCAAGAGACGAGACCATATTGTAGACTCAATTTGACCTCCTCTGAAATAAATTTTCTTCGGTGCATTTCTCGTTTCCTATTCTAAGGTGACTTTCACTTCGTTTACAGTGGGTTGAAATGGGCATTTATAGAGAACACTCGTGTACAAAGGGGCTGTGACAAAGGAGCCTCCAAATTACAGAATCAATGGGAAAATGAGGAAGAAATTTGAGATCATTTTCACAGGAGTTAAATGACAAAGGAAACGCTTATTATCCAAGTTGGCGAGAAATCACGTCTGTTTTACAAGTTACACACCATCTCCCAGGCGGGAAGACAACACAAGGGTTCTCCAGCCAACCTGTCAAGAAAAGGGAAGCAAACGAGTAACTCGGGCAGGGTTCCCTAGCCTATGAAATATCGCGGGAAGCTTTCTAATTTCGCGAACGGAGAAGGCCCTCTGCTGGTTGCTAGGAAACAATGCCCGGTCGTCTGCTCCAATCAGTACGCATCTCTTTGCGTCCAATCAGAGGAACCGGATGACTGTGGTTGAAGGTGAAAGGTCACACTGCTTTTTGGCGGCCATTTCTCTCGCTCCGCCGCGACTCGGGGTCTAGAACAGCTCCTTCAGTTAGGATCTACGGATCACAGCTGGCTCGGCGGTGAGGAGCCTGCACCATTCGCCCGTAGTCGAGATGGTAAGGAGGGAGCGACGTCAATAGCCGGGGCGAGCGGGAAGGCGACCCGCCTCGCTAGGCCTGAAGGTGGTTTCACGCGGTCCCCATTCATCTGTGTGAGGCGCGGTGAATCTCTTCAGTCCCATTCTCCCAGATCTGGGGGCGTTGAGGTCATTCCGGTGCCCTCCCCTCCACGGGAGCACTCAGTCCTCCTTCCCCATCTTCTTCAATTGGACCCAGGCCCGAGATTTCCGAGGTTAAGCGGGACTTTTGGACGCTGCGTTTCTAATTCCCGCGTATCACACTCCAGAATCCACTTTCATTCAATGAGAGTAGAATCCCCAGCATCGCAGCCCTGTGGCATCCAAATCACACACTTTGGACCGTTCAATATTCATTCCTCAAATCTGTATTGTGCGCAGCATCTACCTGTCACTGTTCCGGGCGCCGGGGGTGCTGGGTGAAAAGTACTAACGGGAACCCATCGATGGGTGTGGGAGGCGGGCGTTAATCAAACAATAATAATAGACACAGCGCAAATAACGATAAGTGCTAAGAAGAAAGCAACCAGAATGCTTCCTGCAGTAGACAGGTGATCAGGGGTGACAAGCCTGGGAGATGGGATTTGACCCGAGACCTACGACTAGAAATACCGCTCCCGTAAAGCACTGGACTGCTAACCTCAAGGTCGGCGGTTCAAACCCACCAACCACACCTCAGAAACCCTGTACAGGGCTGCTATGAGTCAGACCCACATAACAACAACAACGAGGAAGAATGCCTAGCTCGCCGAAGTGCCCTGAGGCTGAACTGAACGCGCCGGACCCCTTCCCGGAGTTAGCTGAAAGCCAAGAAGAGTTAGGAGATGGATTATGGAGGCAGGCTTTAAGCTGAACCTTTTAGGCCATGTTAGGACTTTGGATTTTAGTGCTGCTAGAAGCTATTTTATGCAGAGCTGGGACATTTGGTAGATGCTCAAAAATATCATGGTTGTTTGATAATAAACTGAAGAACAGTGAGTGAAAAATGGAGACCATTTATGTTATTACGGTTGTTGCAGATAACTCTGATGATGCCTTTTTAGAGGGGTTGTGTGTGGTACTGTAGGATAAGCACTGGACTGTTAACTATGGGTTGGCAGTTCAATTGCATCAGCCACACTGCAGGAAAAAGTTGAGAAAAAGACACTCTGCACAGGCTTGTTTTGAGTCGGAATTCACATAATGGCAGTGGGGTTGGTTTCAACAAATGATGGTAAAAGTTACGTAATCTCCAGGATTTACAAAGCCAGAGGGAGTCAAAAGGGCGATTGCCTCATTTGTTGTTAGCTGCTGTCAAGTCAGTTCTGACTTACAGGGTCCCAGCACACCCAGAACTCCATCCCCCGCCAGCCAGCCTCATAATGATTGTTCTGTTAGCCCATTGCTGCTGTGCCAATCCATCTCCTTGGGGGTCTTCTTTTTCTCTGACCCTCCACATCACAAAGCATCATGTCCTTCTCCAGGAACTGGTCTCTCTTTATAATATGTCTAAAGTATGAGAGATGAAGTCTGGCCATTCTGGCTGTACTTCTTCCAAGACAGATGGGGTTTTTTCTTGTGGCAGTCCACCACGGTACTTTAATATTCGTCAACACCATAATTCAAATGCATCAAATTCTTCTATGATCTTCCGTATTCATTGTCCAACTTTCATATGCGTATGAAGTGATTAAAAATACCATGGTTTGGGTCAGGTGCACCTAGTCCTCAAATTGATAATCTTGCTTCATTTGGATTTCATAAAACTGGTTGATGATTTGGTAGAAGGGAATTGGTGGTAGGAACGACACCAAGGGAGAAGAATCTATTGTGTGTTGTTTTTTCCCTTTGTACAGAGTTTACCACTCAATCCCAAACCTTTCCTGAACGGATTAACAGGAAAGCCAGTGATGGTGAAACTTAAGTGGGGAATGGAGTACAAAGGCTACCTGGTGTCTGTAGACGGCTATATGAACATGCAGGTAAGCTAAACACTTAACAGATCTTAAAATTGAATTAATTTTGTTCTACCTTGTACCTCAAGGAGCTGTGGTAGCATAGTGGATTATGAGTTGGGCAGTTGGGCTGCTTAATCACAAAGTCAGCAGTTTGAATTTGCTAACCACTCTGTGGGGGAAAGATGAGGTTTTCTGCTCCTGTAAAGATTTATAGTACCAGAAACCTACACGAGGTCACACTGAGTCGGAATCGACTACACAGCACATAACCACCACTTTGTTCCTCAAAGAGCTTAACCATAGTTTATAAGAATGCATGCAATGAAACTGACAAGATTAGGAAGATTTTATAGCTTTGGTATGCTAGGTACAAGACATGGGGTTAAACCGAAATTCAGCCACAGATTTGACTCCTCGCCTTTAAAGTAAGAAAAATGCAGTCACAGTGCCATAAGGGAGACACAAAGTTTGCTGGAGAAAGCAAAACTTTACTGGTACTTAGCTCTGAGAGAAACTTCTCGAGGGAAACTCTTACAATATCTTTTAATGGATGCTAAAGGAGCTACACCAAAGTGAAAATTAAAGCATTTCTTAACATAGAAGACAGACCAGCCAGTGGAATTCATACGCCCACTGCCTGTCTAGGAAACTTAACTGCTGTACATGTTTTAACCAGGTTGTTGATGAAAGAGTTTGAAATGATATTTTCTAATGAGTCTGGAAATGCAAGTATTTGTGTGACAGATTAATGGCAGGTGTATATTTGAAAGGTTACGTAGCCAGGTGGTCGGTTGACCATGATTCCAAGTATTACACAAGGGTACCTGCAGAGCGCCCCCTGGAGGCCAAGATGGCCAAACTTTGTCTCTCATGACATATTGTCAGGAGGGACCAGTCACTGGAGAAGGATTATCATGTTTGGTAAGATGGAGGGTCAGAGAAAAAGAGGAAAACCCCCAGCGAGATGGATTGGCCAAGTGGCAGCATCAATGAGCTAAGTGTGACAACAATAGTGAGGTTGGCCCAGGATCAGGCAGTGTTTCGTTCTGCTGTGCATAGGGTCACTATGGGGGTCGCTATGGATCGGTACCGACTCGATGGCACCTAACAACAACTGCAGGTACAGAGCAAAGATTTTTCTTTAATAAGAGTTTACTACCTGAACTGATAACACTCAGTTATTCAAAGTTATAGCACCTGGTTTTGCCTGGAAAATTCCCAAAGCAGGGATCTTTATAACCAAGTCCATTGAAAAATCTAAAAAGTATACCATTGGGAGGAAAACGTCCCAGAATTAGATACCGTAGTAACGGTGGTTGCGCAACTTCATAAATACACTAAAAGCCACTGAATTACATACTTTAAAGAGTGATAATTAGGCTATAGGAATTATATCTCAATTAAAGAAAAATGCCCATTGAAAATTTGGTTTTAGAAGTAATAGAGCTTCCCAATGAACCCATCAGAATGAGAAGCAAAATATATTCCTAAGTAGCCAGCAACATTGAAGCTTTTGAGTTTGTTTTCTTAGCAAATATTGAGCACCCACTAAGGATAAACACTGCTATAGGATAAGCACTGGACTGTCAGTCACAGGGTCAACATTGCAAACCCACCAGCTGTTCCAAGATAGAAAAATGAGGCTTTCTGCTCCCGTCAAGCTGTAGCCTCAGAAACCATGAGTCAGAGCCAGCTCTTTGGCACTCGGTTTTGAAGTGCCAAACACTGAATACAGCAGTGAACAAAACAGTCCCAACTCCAAATGGGAGGAGCTCTGGTAGCATAATGGTTACGAATCCAGCTGCTAATCTCAGGGTCAGCAGTTCAAAACTACCAGCCGTTCCATGAGAGACAGATGGGGCTTTCTGCCATAAAGATGTACAGCCTCAGAAACCCTGTGCAGGGTCACTATGAGTCAGAAGCGACTCTGTGGCACATCACTACCACCACTCTGAATGGGGTTTCTCTTTTTTAGAGGTTGGAGCTGGTAATGTAATGTGATGTCAGGTAACGATAGATGTTATGCAGAAAAACAAGGCAGAACAACTGAATTGAGTAGCAGACTGCAGTAATAGATAGGGTAGCCAGAGAAAGTTTCTCTGAAAGTGGAAATTGAAACAGAATAGAAGGGAGTGAGCACCTCAAGGATCTGGGGTAAAAGCATCTCACTTTGTGGGAAAACCATGTGCAGAGACCCCCTGGCAGGAGCATACTCACCATGTTGAAGGCCCAAGAAGGCTAGAGCAGATCTTGCAGAGAAAGTTAGGTTGGTCTGGTAGCTTTGGATTTTACTTATTTCAAGTGTTAAAATTTAGAAACCAATTAAATACTAGTGAAAATCAGCCCAAAACACTCTGTTTTAAAAATAATTCATCTTAATATATTAGTTCTGATGTTCCTTACATAGAGAAATTTGTCTTTTGGCAGCCATGTATGTTTCGAATAAAGTATATCCTCTGGATGTAGGATGCTTTTTGTTCTCTATAAAGGGAAAAGTAACATCCAGTATCAACATTAATTCCCTAAAATGTTTTAAATGCTTACCTCTCATCCTTGTTAAGCCCTGTTTTCTCTCTCTTATCCACTCGACTCCTTGTGAAAACAGCTTTGCTTACTCCCTCCTTTCCTGTTCATTTCTCTTGTGAGCCCCAAATGGCCCTAGTTAGTAATTTTTAGAAAATTACAAGTTAAGTGTACTACCTATATGAAGTAAAGCTAAACACTGGGCGTAAAATGAGAAAAAGTAGAGTTTCCATAGAGAGCTATAAAGGTCTCTCTTCATTGCGTAACCTTAATTGCACATAATGTGCTCTTAATTGTACCTAAATGTTTCTTTTTAACATTCTTATTCAGTTTGGCTTGGTTGTTGACTAGTATAAATGTAATTAGTATTTAAGCGATAACTTTTGTGTACCCATCTGTGTATCTAACTATGATTTACACTGTTCTTACTTTGTGGAAAGTCAGTACCTGGTTCTTCAGAATTTAATTTCAGGGAAACCAAATCATAACTTATTTATAAGCAGACTGCCTTCTTCCACATCCTGTTTTTTTTTGTTGTTGTTTGTTTGTTTGTTTTTTATGAATTGAGTAAAAGTTTACAGGGCAGATCATCAGTTTTACATTCAACAAATCATACACCTTGTTTCATTACAATGATTATAATCCCCTCCATATACCATCAGTTAACAGTATTTCTATTCACTTTAGCTCTTTTTCTTTTTTTTTAACAGTCAGGCATATATAATAATTCACACCACCAAAGGGCACATTCTGCAAGTCTGCTCCCGGTCCCTCTCTTCTCATGAATTCAGAGTCCTCAGCTGCTCCCTCTCTTCATGCCCCCTTCTCTGCCTCCATCTCTGGTGTGGCTGCTTCCCTGGATAAGGTGTCTCATTTCGCTTGTGCTCTTCTCCCTTGATGGTCCTAGGGTCCTCTGTTTCTGGACTGTAAGATTAACTACTTCCTTGTTTTTGTTACAAAACTTTTACCTTTACAATTGACAGCTGCAGTTAGTCATGATAACTATTACTCACTGTTGAATCATAAGAATCTTATCCCCATTTACTTTAACCAGACCCATCTAGACAAGATGAAAACTATTCATTGGGGACTTTCTTCCCCCACACACTCTTAGACTGAATTCCCTCTTGAAAACTTGTAAGCCAGTCACTTCGTGCCTTTATTGTCCCATTTTAGATAGCCAATATCTAAGTTGCCCATTCCTATCTGCCCTGTGTACAGAGGGGATAGCATTGATACTTTAAAAAAAAAATTTATGTTTTTATTGTGAATTGAATGATAGTTTACATGAGAGAACATCAGCTTTACATTCATCCTATCATATTTCATTTCATTGCAATGATTACAATCCTCTCCATGCATCATCAAACAACCTAAGAGTATGCCCTGCAAGCCTGCCCCCTGGCCATCAGCACACAGCCCCTCTCCCTCCATGAGTCCAGAGTCCCCAGCCGCTCATCTTTCCATGTCATTGTCTCTACCTCCATCTTTGGTGTCACTGCTTCTCTGGATAGGGTCCCGTACTCCTCTCTTCTCCATTGATGGTCCCAGGGTCCTCTGCCCCTGGACTGTAAAATCAACCACTCCTTTTTTTTTTTTTAAACAAAAGATCTACCTTTACATTTGAAACTCTCACAGTTAGTCCTGATAGCAATTATTCACTGGTGAACCACAAGAGTCTTATCCCTATCTCCTTTCATCAGCCTTGCCCAGCCAGGTTGGAATTCTCCCTCCCTCGCACCCTCTAGAACTAGGCTCCCTCTTTAAACCTTGCAAGCCGTCACTTCTTGCCTTTGTAGACCACCCATTTTGGGTAGCCAGTGTTTAAGTTGCTCATCCCTGTCAACCCTGTGTACCAAGGGGGTGGAAGTGATTCTAATTGTAAAGATTCATTCCCTCTTTTGAGCTACTACATCCATAAGTATAGGTCAAGTTCATCAAATTATAGCGGATTACTCTTTTTTCCCTCTTCTTCCTCTAGTCGAGTTCTGATCATCCAGCCATTGAAGCCAGGTCAAATGTTACTCTCTCCAAGTATGGGTGTTCTTGTGCATCTCCCCTCACTTCATATCAACTGAACACTTCACTATCCACTCTAGTCCTGTGGCCATGTCCCTGTCCCTGGGCCCAGGAGTCCCCAGGTCTCACCATACTGCTGGCTAACCAGGTCTCAACTCAGGTTGACAGGAGTCTATTGGATGTAATTGGATTTAGCTCCCAACTTCATTGCTGTTTCTTCCCCCACTTCCCCTTATCTGTAAACCAGCATGGTCACGAGCAAGACCACAGGCCTGCTCATGTGTTCCCATTGAGACTTAGTTTTGGAAGAGGGTTTGCCCTGAGGGAACCCAACAACTTACTTGATGGTTCCCAGGCAAACAGCTTGCTTGCTCTTGTAGTAGTCAATCAGACTGCCATTATCATTTTTTATTTTTCCTGTTGATTTTTCTTTCAAGAAGTATCTTCTGTTCTTCTGTCCTTTCATGTGGAAATTTCCCACTGCAGAAGGTGGGGTTCAGGATTCCACCTATGGTCTTATGTAATGTAAAGGCTCTGCAGGAAGCCTCTTTCACTGGGCAACTTCTAGCCCCATTTTAGGTATTCTAATCAGTTATAGGCTAAAGACAGACTTATAAGCTTTCTATGGTGATATTTCTGGCTATTCCTTTCTCTCCCCTTCAAGTATTTGTTTTACTTACAATAGTAGGCAAGGGAAACCAAGATTCAAAAGACAGCCAAGAATCTTAACATTATATCCCCTCTTTTACCCATTCAAACCATTACTCAATCCATGTATCCCATAGCCCTGTTGTTCCAAGGTTGTGGATACATCATTATTTACCTCTGTCCCACTTAGCCCATGCAAACCTGCCTAATTGTTCTCCCATCTGCCCTGTTCTTCTATTCCTCTCCCTTTTCTTGTGTATTGTGCACCCCCACCCGCATCCCCGCACCCAAACTATCTTGTGTCTATTCCATACCCTGTGCTTCACCTTCCCCTCCCTCCCCTCACCCCACTCCCTACCACGACATCCTGGTAACCAGCAAATAATTTTTCCCCCCCTTTTTACTATGGGTACTTTTTCCTAGCTTTTACAGTAATGGTCCTATGCATTATTTCTCCTTTTGCCTCCTCATACTCTTTTGGTGTCTAATTAGAAAAAAATATTATATTACCTGGGTGATTTAGAAAATTATTGAAACAAGCTTTGTTATATGTTAATTCAATCATTATCAGTGCTGACTTTAATGAATGTTTATATGGAACCAGAAAGTACTGTGATAGTAATAGAGAGCTAATTTTCTAATTATTGATTATAGATACTGTGAGATTTGGGTTTTAATCAGTATTGAATAATTAAATATACTATTTTTATCCTGTGCTATTATACTAATATTTCCTTTTTATTTAAAGCTTGCAAATACAGAAGAATACATAGATGGGGCCTTGTCTGGACATCTGGGTGAAGTTTTAATAAGGTAACAAAGAATCATAGGTTATGGAAGGAGTTACTGTGAGCATTAGAAACTCCTGTTTAAATAAAATTGTGTCTCAATTTCAGAATTCTTAAAAAATTGTTATTAATTTAATAAAATAGTCCACAATATCTTTGAAACCATTAAATTTGTCAAAGGCGAGATTTAAATTTGTTGGAAGTAATCATCCTGATGGTTCTACTAGTGTTGTTATTAATGTTTCTATCGCTTAGCTGAATTGTTGTTAAGTGCTGTTGAGTTGGTTCCGACCCATAGTGACCCTGTATAGGGTTTCTGAGGAGCAGCTGGTGAGCTTGAACTGCCGACCTTGTAGTTCAAACGGCTTTGCAGTCTGGTGCATTAACCCACAGCGCCACACCAGGACTCCCATCGTTTAGCTGAATGGTCTCAGTTTTTTCGGTGGTCTTTGTTGTAAGAGCTGGATTTCAAGTTTTTGTAGAACCAGCTTCAAACTCCCAGATTCTCTTGGGAAATGCCATTTTATAAAATTGCATGGTAAAAATAAATGCCATGTGCTTTAAACATATGTATGTTAAAACTTCTTTTAAAAGAAAGAGAAATAATATCTTTTAAATTTAGCATGTAGTATTTTTATAATGTAATTTGTAATATATTTCAGTGTTTTGTTGGACATAGGATCTCTGGGTCAGAACAGACTTGATGGAACCAAAATACAAAATTTTTGTAATAAGAAAATGTCATATGGCACTAATTCTGATGTATATGGTTTCCTGTTGTAACAAAATGGACTATTTCTCTTTCCAGGTGTAATAATGTCCTTTATATCAGAGGTGTTGAAGAAGAGGAAGAAGATGGGGAAATGAGAGAATAGAATCTTTTGGGGGGGATTTTTTTTTTTTATATATATATATTTCTAGGCAATAAAGATTTGTTTGTTTTTCAGTTTGACTTGTGAACTATTGATACTCATGTATTCACATGCAAAGCTTAAATGATGAAACAATTGAGAGGTTAGTTACAAAACTAATGTTTTAGAAACCATACAATTTTATTCAAGTTGGTATTTTTTTCCTACGAGGCAAAGTAACTTATTTTCTTCATTTAGAGAACTTTATGAAGGTGAATTTCAGCCCTTAAATATTTACTGAGACCTTTTAGAAGCAGCTGTTACATTTAAAGTTATTTTTAAGCCACTTTTGACATGTATAAAACTAAACATTTTCTTACTCTATGTGTTGTAATAGTTTCCTTAGAAAATTGCCTGTTAATTCTTTATCAATATAAGTACAGCATGTACATATTATAGCTTAGAGCATCACCTGGAAATGACAATGATGGGGAGAGAGCACAATAGAGATTGTAAGCTCCCATTTAGGTCGAAGGCATATGCTTTGTTCACGGAAGTTTTTGAACAAAACTCGTGTCAATATGAAATAAAAACCAGTCTCACAATTAATGTTCTCTAGACCATATCAAGTGATTTTAACTTAAAAGTTTTAAAATCCCCCAAAACCCTGAAGGTATTTTAGAGTCGTACATTGTTAAATTGTGTATTCCACGTGATACAATGTATGATGTGAACTTTCCTATAGATTGCCTGAGAAGATATATCATGTGGTCAGAGAAAGGCTATTACTACTCTTTAATGGTTTTCACCTTATGAGGGGACTTCAAAAGGTTGTGGAAAAATGGAATTAAAAGATAATGAGATTCTTTCATGAACTTTTTGATGCCCCCTTTATATACACATCAGTAAAGGAACATTGGATATATGTGCTCAACTGGATTGTTAAGTGCCACCAAGTTGGTTCCAACTTATAGCGACTGTAGGGTTTCTGAGGAGGGGCTGGTAAGTTTGAGCCACCAACTTAGGTTCAAACTGACCTTGCGGTCCGGTACTTATCTTACAGCGCTACACCAGGACTCCAGGTATAGACTGATATTTGTTGGTGGTTGTTGAGTGCCTATTGAGTCGATTCCAACACATAGCAACCCTATACACGGTTTCCAAAGAGTGGCTGGTGAGTTTGAACCGCAGACCTTGTGGTTCAAACCAACCTTGCAATCTAGCACTTTATTCTATAGCGCCACACCAGGACTGATACTTGTTAGTTCCATAGAATTGATTCCTACCCATAGCGACCCTGTATAGGGTTTCCAAGGAGCAGCTGGTAAGCTTGAACCACCGACCTTGAAGTTCAAATGACATGGCAGTCCAGCGCATTAACCCACAGCACTACACCAGGTCTGATACTTAGGAACAATACAAAGGTTGAACAAAAGAAAATAACTCATTCCTATTCCTATAACTTTTAATATAAAGTCCTGTCTTCCTCAAATTGGTGAGGCCAGGATACAGGACAAAATGTTGCCGTTACTGAAAACTCAAATCTGTAAATACACTTAAAAAAGTTCTGGCTATAAAATGCAGTACTGATTCTATTCAAGTAAAAAAATACTCTTCCTCCTGTGACTTTGTTGACTCGCTGACTACTTGTAGTTCGTGTTTGTTATCAGACGGAGGGCTTGAACGAAAGATAAGTCGTCTTCCCAACTGAAGACAAAAGGAAAGCAAAAGACAATATGCTTTAACATAGTTATTTTTAAATTGAAATATAAAATTATTTTTACAAAGAATAGGAAGAGTGCTTCAAAAAGTTTGAAGAAAATGCAATAAAAAGATCATTGAATTTTCCACAAGGTTTTTGAAACTCCTTCGTATAGTTCATGATACTAAATAATTATGGCTATAAAAAGACAGATAACATACCCAGTATGCTAGGCATAATTTTGTAACAAATTCAGCACCTCTAACATGCAGGAGACAGAGCAGGTTATGCTTCATGGGGAATTGAAGAGAGATGTAAGGACATTAAACAATATGGTCCAATTAACCCTAGAAAATCATCATGTTGAGTGGCATGTATATACAGCTTGTTAAAGCTTTGGGAAACCATGAATTATCAAACATTGGTTTGATGATGACTCTTGGAGGTGTTACTGCCCAGTTATTTTAGTTTTGCTTTATAGTAGAATTTGTATAAATTAAATGAATGGATGAAGAGGCTACCATTCTCTATTGGACAGGAGATTTGATGGAACAGCATATCTCAAAATGGGCACCACTGACATTTTAGGTTGGATACCTGAGGCTTTTCCCCTGCGTAGAAGAATGTTCTTAGCCTAAGGGAACTAAGTTATGGCACACATCACATCATGACAAAAATGTCCTAAGGGGACTGGAATTTTTTCATTCTTTTTCTTGTATAAAGATTTAGCTTTCTAATTATTGAGAACCTTTGGTAACCTTTGTTAAAACTTTATGAGGAAATTGCCAACAGTGTCCTAAAAGAATTTCTTTCAGAGATCTTGTTTTTGGTGGGCTTATGGGGTCATCCTTTTAAAAATTGTCAGAATTTATATTTTCGTTTTGAGTCTGTTAATTCAGTAAGTACTGAGTGTCCACTTACGCATCCATTGGGAATACTAAGGTGGTAACTCATGGTCTAAAAGAAAAGATTAATAATTTCAATTTGGTGGATTAAATGAATAGTAATATGTACTTGTGGAAAGATAAAAATGATTAATTCTCCCTTGAGAGGTCAGGGAAGGAAAGTCTGTAGGAAGAATTTAGTTGAAGTAGGTTAAGTATGGACTCTTAAGAAAAAAATTCTTATTTAAATGAAATTATTACCTTATTATTAACTTTTTTTTTTTTTTTTTTAGTTTCACTGTTTTAATCATGTGTTTAGCTGATGATAGTGAACTTTTTCTTCTCTTTCCACAGATAGAGCCAGTTTGATTCCTGTACATTACATTTGGTGAGGTCCTCATGTATGTTGTTGTTGTGGTTAGGTGCCATTGAGTCGGTACCAACTCATAGTGACCTTATGTACAGCAGAACGTAACACTTCCAGATCCTGGGCCAGCCTCACTGCTGTTGCCACGCTTGAGTCCATTGATGTTGCAACTGGGCCAATCCATTTCGTTGGGGTCTTCTTCTTATTCTCTGACCCTCCACCTTACCAACATGATATCCTTCTCCAGCAACTGCTCCCTCCTGACAATATGTCCGTATAAGAGACAAAGTTTGGCCATTTTGTCCTCCAAGAAGCACTCTGGCTGCACTTCTTCCAAAACAGATCTATTGGTTTTTTTGGCAGCCCATGGCACTTTCAATATTCTCCTCCAACACCATCACTCAAAAGCATCAATTCTACGGTCTTCCTTATTCACTGTCCAGCTTTCGCATGCATATGAGGTTATTGAAAATACTATGACTTGAGTCAGGCGCACCTTAGTCCTCAAGCTGACATCTCTGCTCTTCAACACTTTAAAAAGACCTTGTGTAGCAGATTTGCCTAATGCAATATGTCATTTGATCTCTTGACTGCTGCTTCCATGACTATTGATAGTTGATCCAAGAAGAATGAAGTCCTTGACAACTTCAATCTTTCTGTTTTGATAAGAATGTTGTTATGTTGGTCCAGTGGTGAGGATTTTTGTTTTCTTGACATTGAGATGTAATCCATACCGAAGGCTGTGCTCTTTGATCTTCATCAGTAAATGTTTTAAGTCCTCTTCACTTTCAGCAAGCAAGGTTATGTCATCTGCATATTTCAGGTGGTTAATGAGTTTTCCTCCAATCCTAATGCCACGTTTTCCTTCATATAACCCAGCTTCGGATTATTTTCTCAGCATACAGGTAGAATAAGTATGGTAAAAGAATACAACCTTGTCACACACATTTCTTAATTTTAAACCATTCAGTGTACCCATGTTCTATTCAAACAACTGCCTCTTGGTCCAGGTACAGATTCTCCATGAACACAATTAAGTGTTCCGGAATACTCATACTTCTCAATGTTGCATAGCTTGTCATGATCCACACAATTGAAAGCCTTTGTGTAGTCAATAAAGCAGAAGTAAACATCTTTCTGATATTCTCTGCTTTCAGCCAAGATCCATTGGACATCAGCAATGATGTCCCTCGTTCCATGGCCTCTTCTGAATCCAGCATGAAACTCTGGAAGTTCTCTGTCAATGTACACTTGCAGCCGTTTCTGTATTTACTTTTGTAAAGCTTTACTCGCATGGGATATCAAAGAGATTGTCCGCATTCCATTGGGTCACTTCTCTGGAATGGGCACAAATACGGATCTCTTCCAATCAGTCTGCCAGATAGTTGTCTTCCAAGCTTCTTGGCATAGTGCCTCCTGTGCTACCTCACTTTCTGGAATGATGTCAATTTTTATTCCATCAATTCCTGGTGCCTTGTTCTTTGCCAATTCCTTCAGTGCACCTTGGACTTTTCTCCTTTAGTATCATTGGCTCTTGAACATATGCTACCTCTTGAAATGGTTGAACATGAACCATTTCCTTTTGGTACAGTGACTGTGTATTCCTTCCATCTTTTGATGCTTTCTGCATCATTCAATAATATGCCCAGAGAATCTTTCAATAACGAAAGTCAAGGTTTTAATTTTTTCTTCAGTTCTCCCAGCTTGAGAAATGCTGAGTGTGTTCTTCCTTTTTGGTTGTCTGATTCCAGATTTACACATTTTGTTGTAATATTTGGCTTTATCTTCTCGAGCTGATCTTTGAAATTTGCTGTTCAGCTCTTGGACCACCTCATTTCTTCCATTTGTTTTAGCATCTGTACACTGGGGAACAAGTTTCAGTGTCTCTTCTGACATCCCTTTGAACTTTTCCTTCTTTCCTGTCTTCTTAATGATTTTTTGCTTTCTTCCTCTATGATATTCTTGATGTCATCCCGCATCTCTTTTGGTCTTCGGACTTTAGTGTTTAATGTATCAAATCTGTTCTTCAGATGATCTATAAATTCAGGTGGGATATATTCAAGGTCATACTTTGGCTCTTGTGGACTTGTTTTCATTTTCTTCAATTTCATTTTGAATTTGCGTATGCGTAATTGGTGGTCTGTTCCACAGTCTGCCCCTGGCCTTGTTTTGACTGATATGGAGATTTTCCATCTTCTCTTTCCGCAGATGTAGTCAATTTGATTTCTATGTATTCCATCTGGTGAGGTCCATGTGTATAGTTATCTCTTATGCTGCCTAAAGAAGATATTTGAAATGAACAAATCATTGATTTTTCAGAATTCTATTATGTGATCTCCAGCATCATTTCTATCACCAAGTATTTTCCAACTACTGATCCTTCCTGTTTGCTCCAAACCTTTGCATTCCAATCACCAATAATGATCAATACATCTTGATTGCATGTTTGATCAATTTCAGATTGAAGAAGTTGGTAGAATTCTTCTATTTCATCCTCACTGGCTTTAGTGATTGTTGCGTAAATTTGAAAAATAGTGGTATTAACTGGTCTTCCCTGTAGGCACATGGATATTATCCTATCACTGACAGTGTTGCACCTCATGACTCATCTGGATATATTCTTTTTGCCAGTGAATGCAACACAATTCCTCTTCAATTTGTCATTCCCTGCATCGTAAACCATGTGGTCATCAGATTCAAAATGGCCAATTCCAGTCCATTTCAGCTCACTAATGCCTAAGATATCGATGTTTATTAGTTCTATTTAATTTTTGATAACTTCCAATTTTCTCAGATTCATACTTTGTACATTCCATGTTCCTATTTTCAGTGGATGTTTATAGCTGTTTTTCTTCATTTTGAGTTGTGCCCCACCAACAAATGAAGGTCCCGTGGGCTTTTTCCCACGGGTTTTTCTCCATTGGTGTCATCACAGTCAAGTCTACTTTGAGGAGGCAGCTCTTCCGCAGTCACATTTGAGTGCCTTCCAACCTGAGGGGTTTATTTTCCACCACTATATCTGACAGTGTTTCTCTGCTCTTCCTAAGGTTTTCAGTGACTATTCGAAAGTAGGTCATTATTCCTTCCTTGTCTGTCTTCATCTGGAAGCTCATCCTGGAACCTGTCCACCATGGGTGACACCCTGCTGGTATTTAAAATACCGGTGGCATAGCTTTGAGAATCACAGCAACTCACAAGACACCACAGTACAACAAACTGACAGATGAGTGGTGGTCTACGTGTATAGTTGACCTTTTTGACGGGTAAGTCATCGCTCTTGCAGAATTCTATCATGTGATCTCAAGCATGATTTCTATCACCAAAGCCATACTTTCCAATTACCAATCATTTGTTTCCAACTTTTGCATTCCAGCCACCAATAATGCTCAGTGCATCTTGATTGCATGTTTAATCAATTTCAGACTGAAGAAGTTGGTAGAATTTTTCAATTTCAACATGATTGGCTGTTGTGATTCTTATGTAATTTTGAATACTAGGGCATAAACTGGTTTCTCTTGTTAAGTTCCTTCCAGTTGTTTCCTAGTCATAGCAACCCTATGTACAACAGAACATAACACCACCCAGCCCTGTGCAATTCTCACATTTGCTGCTACTCTTGATCTCATTGTTGCTGCCACTGTGCCATTCCATCTCGCAAGGGGTCTCCCTTTATTTTCTGATATCCCTCCACTTTATCAGGAGTCCTGGTGTGCTGTGGGCTGATGCGTCAGACTGCAAAGTCATTTGAACTGCA